TCGTCTGGATGTGAGTTTCTCTGTGTGTGTGTTTGTGTGTGTGTGTGTGTGACTCCTGCTCATACACATATCTCCTTTCTCATGATAAGCACTGCCTTAAAACAACAGTAGCAGATTGTAATTAAGTAAGAAATCAATACCCGCTGTAAAATTGTTGTGACCCTTGAATTTGTGACTAATAAATGATTCTACTTTGATTCTACCACTTTCAAAGTCATTTATAGTTCATTTATAGACATTTATAATGTTACAAAGTATTTCAATTTCAAATAAACTTAAAATTATAAATATTATAAAAGTTATAAATAACTGTTTCCACTAAAATATTGGGCAGCACAACTGTTTTCAACATTGACAATAATGAGAAATGTTACTTGAGCAGCAAATCAGCATATTAGAATGATTTCTGAAGGATCATGTGAAGACTGGAGTAATGATGCTGAAAATTCAGCTTTGGTCACAGGAATAAATTACAGGAATATATTTAACAAAATGCATTTTTTGACTATTTTTGACCAAATGCAAATGCAGCCTTGGAGCGTAGAAGAGACTTAAAAAACATTAAAAAAAAAAAAAGAATATATATTATTTTTCATTGTATATTTCAGTGTTGGAGGTGAAATCTGCAGTGCCAATCATTATGGGTGCTAATATCGGCACTTCTGTGACAAACACCATTGTGGCCGTGATGCAGGCGGGAGACCGCAACGAGTTTCGCAGGTAAACCCAACTAAGGAATCAGTTTTGTATCCATAAAGTGATGGAAAACATTGAAACACTGTGTCTTATTAGCATCATTTGTATACAAAAACTTGAAAATACGTGCACTCTTTCAGTAGCTTTGAATTTACGTGCTGATGAAGGAACTCCGGTTGAACATCTGAGAAATGGGTTTTGTCATTGATTCTGTGTACCTCAGGGCATTTGCTGGAGCTACGGTCCATGACTTCTTTAACTGGCTGTCTGTCCTAGTGCTGTTGCCTCTGGAGGTGGCTTCAGGATACCTCTACAGACTCACCAAACTTATAATTGATTCCTTTAACATCCAGACGGGTGCAGATGCTCCAGACCTTTTAAAGGTCATCACTGAACCCCTCACCAAGAACATCATTGAGGTGAGATCAGTGGATCTGTTGATTTATCTAGTAGGTGTTACTACTCAACTGCATCTGTATGCAACTGTATCAGGCAGCCGATCGCATAAGCTCCACTGTGTCATTGTTATTGTCCTATAAATTAATGTTTGGTAGCAGCAGGATTATTAGGCTGCTGTCACTTTAAGACCTAATCCACAGATCAATATACTGACACACATACAGTTTTTTTTTGTTTTTCTCTACCCAACTGTTTACGAGGACACTTAAGATGGGAATTCCAACATAGTTGTGTGTGTTTATCTGTACAAAATAAGACAGTATTTTACATTTTCAATTAAGAATATACAACAATTCCGTTTACAGAACCTTCATAAATGAAATGCAAACGGAAGGCAAAAACACACTTTATTCATCCTTTTATAGAAGTAGAGTTAAAAAACCCATGTTGTATCTTGTGGATCTCACCATCTAGCTTTGACCAAAATGGTTTGAACGCACCTGACATTGTAATTACGACTTCCAAACTCATAAAAACAAATATCCCAGAAGGACTTCAATGCACTAATATTTGCATCACAGCTCAAAATTTGTCTCTTAATTTCTGGGTGCAAAGTTCAGGCACTGAGGCTACATAAATGTAGTGATCTTTATGCACCTGCTTTGCTCTCTGCTGCATCTCTACCACATGTTTTTTTTATTGAAAATCTTTTATTTTTTTGTATTGTTTTGTTCTTCCAGCTGGACATGTCTGTGATCCGTGACATCGCCACTGGAGACCCTGCTGCCCGAAACAAAAGTCTGGTTAAGATCTGGTGTAAAACAGAAAAAATCACGGTGAGAATGTGAAAGTGGGATAATAAGTGCAGCACACCCACTATTTCTCGTCAGTCACTAGATTAGGCTGTTAAAACATGAGGAAATAAGATTTATCACACTGATGGGAATTCAGAAGATAAACATAGGGTCTATATGTACATACAAATACAGATATGTGAGTCTTTTATCTAAATTCCCGATAAACCTTGTTAACCGAGGCATTAGCTCTGCTGCTCTGTTCTAAAGCCTAGCGCATTGCCTTGCTGTCTATATAGATAGCTTCCTTTAAAGGCAGCATTTTAACTGAAAGTAAACATTTTATTTGGAACACTCTTATGTAGCTATGTCAGCTGGGTATGACATACAACATCAAGCACGCAGAGATTCAACTCCCAATTGATTGCAATAGCTTGTGGTGTTAGCATGTTGCTAAGCTAACAGTGTAACACTATTAAGCATAAGAAATAGCAAACAAAAATAATGGCTGCGTACAAGGGCTTAGGACGTTCCAATTCTGCCCACTGCAAGAGTTCTGCCAGTAGTGGGCACTCATGCAACGTAATCAATGACATACATCCCAGTAAACTAGATGGAGGGAAGTTTGCGAGTGAAGGGCATAAAAAATGGACTGGAACGCAGCCAAAAATTCACTTAGCATATATCTAGTAGCAACTCTGTACATCTCGCAAAAACTTGTCCTCATGCACAGCACACAGAGGCTAAACTAGGGCTGCGTCTGAAATCGCATACTCTCTTGACTAGGTAGGCTATTTTTATTTTTTTTTATAAGTAATTACTTCTCAACTGCAAAAAGAGCAGCTAAAAAACTTATTTGCGATATATGGGAGTTTTTGCGAAATTGACGTGTTTCTATTGGGCGTATTTTCAATTCACAATTTCAATTTGCGTAATTTGAAGGGTAATGGAAACACAATGATTGGCAGTGACGTGACGCAACTGAAGCTGGTAGGTCACGTGACAGAATACACCACACTTCAGAATAATGCTGTTAGTAGTAGGTTATCCGGGTGCCTACTCTTTTAGGTTATACTTTTTGCCTACTCTTTTAGAAGTACTGTGAATTCGGACACACTTCTTTTGTCACATGCTGTTTTTCGCCCACTATATAGTAGGGAAGTATGAGATTTCGGATGCAGCCTAGGTCGATTGTTTTGTTAGCATGTTGGTAAGCTAACAATGTGACATTGAGCATAAAAAGCTTCATATTCTCTCCCTTATGTAAGGTTTAGGTCAGAAGATGTATTTTTGTCTGTTTCAGAACCTCGTGAATATAACAGTCCCTGGATTCGCAAACTGCACGCCTGGCGCCCTCTGCTGGGAGGAGGACGGCCAGATCTGGACTCAAGAGAACCAAACAGAAACAAACAACTTGGAAAAATGTAAGTGCCTCTGCTTGCTTTGTGGCTCTTGTAGCAACTAGCGCAGGAACTTCCTGGATCAACAGAGACTGAAGCCTAATGTCAATCCATTTCCCGTCCTATTCCTTACATAGTTGACTTATTTCAGCTCTAAGCCATTGATCGCGATTCACTCTAACCTCCATGAGTACAATGGATTCTTATAAAAGCTGAGAGAGATCTTAGCTTCACCTTTCCCCCCCACCCCATCCATCTACTCTACCTTTTCAATGGGGCTATTCTTCATGACAGCCTCGGGTACTTGAGGCCAATGCACCTGAAGAAAGAGCCTCTGCCAATTTGGCAGCAGGGCTTTTGCTCTGGGTATGAATTTGGATGATTTAAATCAATGCAAGTAGTTAGATCGCATGTTGAAATTCCAGCCTTGACTTGGTTCAGTGGATTTGAGTATGTAATCATGCTGTGGTCCTTCAACTGTGACAGAGTGCGCTCAGATTTTCAAGAAGCACCATTCAGCAGCTCCTCAAATGAGAATTTGAAGATAATTTTTGGTAGATTATATCAGGGGTTTTCAAACTTTAATGCCAAGGATCCCCAAATTCGTTAATCCCCTTGCAAGGGATTCATTCATGCATTCATAAAAGATAAAAGCAGCTATATATAAATGGCCCATTTATACTATGTTTATGCTATTTATACCGTGTTCATGTTTTGTTTTTTTTTGTTTTTTTAAGAATTAACTTTCTTACACTTTTACACTTTTTTTGGTGGACATTTTAACTGACCCTTGTGCAACCCCTTAGGGGTCTCTAAACCCCATTTTGAAATGATTGAACTATCATATAAAGCAAGCAACTGCAGCTATTGAGTCTGATTTTGTGATTTGATGTAGTAATGGCAATGATCACAGTCTCATAGCAATAGCATAATGGTCAAGATGTACTTAATATCTGAAAATAGCCCTCTGTATCTTTTAAGATTTGCAATATTATTTGGTCCATTTAAGTAGTAAGATTTTTAACTAGAATCAGCATACAACTATTTTCATAAAGCTTTGTTAGCAATCTGATTAAAAAATACTGGCGCTGGCAATCGATTAAAAAAAATTACTAGTTAATCACACATTTTCCTGTAATTAATCACGATTAATCGCATATTGATATATTTAGTATGTCTTAATTTCACACGTAATCTCCAAATTCATGTAGAAACAACATAAAAATGCAATAGTATATTTTAAATATGAGTTTAATGGCATATTTTTACTAAGTAGCCTAATATTAATGAAGACCAGTGTCATTGATACCAATAATGCAACTGATGTCTCTATTAAATGCATTTTCACTGAAATTTTCGGCATTAATTATAGCCATGCAACATTACAATATAACTGAAAGCCATTATTTTTTAACATTTTAATAGGCTTTGAAAAATATAACTTTAAATTTAACTTAACCAGTCTTCACAAACTATAAAATGTATTTCCACTATAAATTTAATATAGATTCATCTTTATTCAAGCTACACAATTTAATCTGCGAGCAGTGTGCGTTCACTGAAATTTTTTTATTACATTAAACTGAAAAAAAAAATAAAATAAATAGTAATCACACTATTAACGTGTTAGTTTTGACAGCCCTAAAAAATAATTTTATGCTACAGTAGACTAGCATGTAAAGTGATAGCTTATTCAAATAATGCCACAGGAGTAAAAAAAAATAATTTATTTACTGGAAAGCAAATGTGCATTGACTTTGAAATCAGAGTCTGGTCCATCCAGCTATTTTATGGACATGCACTAACTCTGAAAAGACTTCACACACACACAGTAACAACCTTGGGGTTACAAGTCCGACTCTTTAACCATTAGGCCACGACCGTGCCCCCAAAACACACTACAACAGCCTAACATAAACTAAGACACATAAAAAAAAAATCTCAGTATTGTTTCGTTCAAGCAATGAAAGTCACTGGTAACCAAAACAGCTTTGTTACCAACAGTCTTCAAAATACCTTATTTTATGTTGCGCAAAAGAAAGTAAGTCATTCAGGTTCGAAATGACATGAGGGTAAGTAAATGACAGAATTTTTTTTTTGGGTGAACTGTCCCTTTAATGTTTTATTTATTTATTTTTTAAATAAATGAAATGATACTCTAAAGAAGAAACTACAACTGCCAGCAGGTGGTGGTAAATGTCTTTGTGTCATTCATTCATTCGATTTGTTCAAACAGCTGGTTCATTCAGTAAATTCAGTAAACGTCTCACTTTATGAATAGGCCTTTGAATCATTGGTTCACACGATTCGTTCAAAACACAGGTTCATTCAGAAACTGTACATGCAGATAACATATTATAGAAATAAAAGGTCATTTATAATGTTTGCTGGTTTTCAATTTGACAAGTGCCCCAAAAGAGATCTACCTTCTTGCAAAATGCAGCTCCAGTCCTGATCAAAAACACCTGGACCAGCTAATTAAGATCTTCAGAAGCGCTTGATAATTAGACCGGTGAGCTGGAACTGAACTGTGCAGGTAGGTAGATTTTTAGGAACAGGTTTGGAAACCTCTACTCTAAAACCATCAAACTACACCAGCAGGGAAACTGGACAATAACTTTCCAACACTTTCATGAACGTTCTGTATATTTCTGTAAGCTCTGACAGACTCCTCCTCATCTCTTCAGGTACTCACATGTTTGTGTACGCTGATCTGCCGGACCTGGCGGTGGGCTTGATTTTGTTGGCTCTGTCGTTGCTGGCCCTCTGTACCTGCCTGATTCTGATCGTCAAGCTGCTGAACTCAATGTTGAAGGGTCAGGTGGCGGTCATCATCAAAAAGGTGCTCAACACAGGTGAGTCAACATCAGAGGTGAATCATCTGCCGATAAGCTCTGTTGCTAATTGCTAACATTAACCTCTGATACGCACTCTTTGTGGTATATGACAATATGCGTCAACACTGAACTTTTAAGTTGAAAGTTGAGGACAAAGACGCATGTACCAAATATTTGACCTTCAGCTAAAAACATACATATGGCAATTCCCCACCCTTCCCAGAGTTCCCTCTTATCACATTCCTGTAGGCGTAGCGCTTACTGGAAGTGTGTTCGCATGTATCCTGTCATATGATAGTCGGCACAGGTGATCCAGTCCTGCTGTCTGATGAGCTGAACAGGAACATTATATGAGCCTGAGTGTGTCTGAGTGCCACAGGTGTGTGTGTATGTGCATGTGCTGTTGGTTTCAGACTGCACTCAAGTACATGCCCATAACTCCCCACATATCCACTCTACTTGCATTTTAGCCAAAGCTTTGTGGGGAGTTTTAATGCAGCCATCACTTAACACCAGGAATAAATACACATACTGTTCATGTCCTTTCTAATACGGCTTTGATTGTTGACAGATTTCCCTTTCCCTTTCGCCTGGGTCACTGGATATCTCGCCATGCTTGTTGGAGCCGGAATGACCTTCATTGTTCAGAGCAGCTCTGTCTTCACCTCAGCCATCACTCCACTAGTCGGTCAGTATAGAAACCCAGATGATTATAGTGGTCGACCGATATAGGTTTTTTGACAGCCGATGCCGATATCTTGGAAAGCAGGGTGGCCGATATAATTTTATTTATTTTAATTCATATTTTAAAAAATTTGAAATCATTTGAAAATGGATAAAAAAAATAAACATGTAAAATAAACATACTTATACTCTAGAACAGTGGTTCTCAACCACATTCCTAGAGAACCCCCAACACTGCACTTTTTGCATGTCTCGTTTGTCTGACACAGCCATTTCAAGTCTGTGAGTCTCTACTAATGAGCAGGTGACCTGAATCAGGTGTGTTTGATTAAGGAGACATGCAAAATGTGCAGTGATGGGGGTCCTCCACTGCTCTAGAAGACAAAGTATTTTTCACAAATAAATATTTAATAAAAATATAATTAAAGGAAGTAAACACTGTAACCAACAGGGCACTCGGTATCCTGGGAAGTTTGTGTGCATTGGGAATCATTTTTTTCAAATAAAGCCAAGGTAACACTCATTTTACATACAGCACACAGTGAAAATGACATGAATATGACACTGGGCAAATGCATAAAGCGCAGCATAATTTGAAATCA